GTCGCCGCCCCCCCCCCCCCCCCCCCCCGGCATGGAGTCATCAAACATCACTTCAGAGTAGAGCTTGCCCCACACATCCCAGACTCATCTCTCCATCTTAGTGTGTACTGCTCACATCTGTGCCACGGCATTCATCACGCTGTTACCTCTTTTTTACACATCTGTGTACTATTTACAGGTCTGCCACCATCTGTGAGATGCTCCTGAAAGGCAGGGACCGTGACTGACACATCTTAGTAGGCACCTAGCACATTACACGGCACATAATAGAAGCTGAAGAATCAATCGACTGGTAAATAAAAGCTAACTAAAGGGATTAATGTCTTACTTTTACATGACTAATACAGGCAAACCTCAGAAATATTGCAGGTTCAGTTCCAGACCACAGCAATGAAGCAAACATCGCAATAAAGCGAGTCACACGAATACTGTGCTTTCCCAGTGCACATAAAAGGTATGTTTATGCTATACTATAGTCTATTAAGTGTTCAATAGCATTATGGTAAAAAAATGTACATACCTACCTTAATTAAAAATTACTTTATTACTAAAAGCTATCCATCATCTGAGCCTTCAGCAATTTGTAACCTTTTCAGGGGTGGAGGGTTTGAAATATTGCGAGAATTACCAAAATGTGACCCAGAGACACAAAATGAGCAAACACTGTTGGAAAATGGCACTGGTAAACTTGCTCAAGGCAGGGCTGCCACAAACCTTCAATTTGTAAAAAACGCAAAAGCGTAATAAAGCAAAGCGCAATAAAACAAGGTATGCCTGTGTTTTGTTTTGTTTTGTTGTTTAATTCTGTTCTGAGTACCAAATAGGTCCCCTAGAATAGAAATACTATTGCCCTCAATTCTATTTACCAAAACCGGTCGTTGAACCTTCTGCATTACAGTAGAAGAAACATATTTCAAATTCAAGACTTGGTTAAGATAAATTTTATTAAAGCGCATTTTCTGATTGGTTAGTTGGCTTGGCATTATTTGGTTGCTTGGTTTTGTTTTGCATTCCTACAATAACTAGCTGCATTCATACATAACTCCATCAGTTATGTACCTGGTAACAGAAGGCTATGATACCACTGCTGGATGTTAGATCATAAAGCTGAAAAGCAACTATTCAAGTGGATGAACAAACAAATGGAAACTCATAAACCCAGAATTTTAAGCACAGCTTTGACCTGGAAGTGTATTTCCAGGCTTAAACAGTTCATCCTGCCCACGTACTCTAACATATGCCTGAGAGCACCCGTAGCTGGACAAAAAGATTCCTAATAATCACTAACTCTCAACAAATCTTTGACACAGGCAGGAGATGTTAGTGTTTAGAGGAAACGAAAACTCAGTAAAAAGACCCAAAGTCGTGAAATTAAACATAAAGCTCAAACTAAAATTCTGAAACCGTTAGCTCTCAGATCCATCATATCTGACCTCTTGGCCATTTAAATATGAATCAGCAATATCTCCAACTAGTAAAGAAGTTGGAGAAAAGTAGAAAGACAATCATAATTGCTATAATAACATGCGATACTGGAGTACACACTTTTTTTCAAAGCACAATAAAGAATCAGTGTGATACCTGGTAAAAGCCAAAACTCAGCTTTTCCTATCCCTTATTTATTCTCCAACAAAATGAAAAAAAAATTAAGTTATCGTTCCAAACTTTCAAGGAATTCTTGCTACAGAAATTACATCTTATAAGTAGGTTATATCTACTTAGTCCCAGCTAATCAAAAAGTTTTATTACGATTTATTAGAACTGCAGATTTAAATTATCAGAATTAAAAAGTAAGGAAAGCTGTATCTTTGACTTAGGTTTAAAATACTTAGAGTGTGCCTGCCAGTCACATAAATTAGTGCAAACGCAAAAAAAGAAGTAAACTGGGTGAGTCTTGCTTATAGCTATAGTATAGTTGGATCATGTCTTTTATTTAACTCACCGGCACTGTCTTTTCTTAAACCTGTGTCTATGCGGACAGCTACAAAATGGGCTAAGACCTTCTCAAGGTGCTTAGCTGTCATAGGGGTCAGCAAAGCATAAGCGGGCCACAAACATTAAAGGTCCTGGGGAAAAGCAGCCACACCGCTGAACAAGGAACACACCTCACATACATCAGGCCCCAAATAAACACACTCCTCAAAGTTGCATAAAGTCAATTTTGAAGAAACCATACTTTAAATAGATGGCGGATCATTACACAAAACTTGAAAACCGTCCTCCAGTACATGAAGCCGGTTTACAGGTGCCTGTTTCACCCGGCTCGCCCTTCTGGGTGTTTGGACAGTTACCGGGCACTGACCGCGCCCCGGCATCACCCTGGCGACAGGGGAGCACGCCGAGGCCTAGGGGGGCCAGTGACGGCTGGGGGGCGGCTGGGCCGCAGCCTGAGCCCTGCGGGGCGGCTCGTGCCCCCGCACCGGCCTTTTCTACCCCGTGTCCACGCCCCTGTAAACAGGAAGGGCGCACGACCCTCAACACACAGGCCGCCCGCATGGACGTCCCTCGTCCCTCGGACACTCGGACCCGGGACACTGGGTCGTGCCCACCGGGCCGGCGGCGGGCCGGGCCTCCCGGGGGCCGCCCCTCACCCCGAGGGCCCAGAACGCCGTCCGCCTCCGGGGGCAAGTGCTCCCGCCGGCCTGGGACCCGGGCGCGACCCCGTCAGCTGCCCGGACCCGGACATGCTGACCCGCCCCAACTTTCTCAGAACCTCCCCGCCCTGCGCGGCCCGGGCTCCAGTCCGCCCGCGAAGCAGCGGCCGCCCGCGCCCAGAAGCCCCCGCGGCGCGCGCCCCACAGGCCTGGAGAGAGGCCTGGGCCCGCCCACGGGGCGACCGCTCCCCGCGCAAAATTCCACCCGAGAACCCGCGTGTGGGGACCCCGGAGGGGAAATCGGAAAAACGAGAACCTGGCGCCCCTACGTGCAAGCTTTCCGAGCGGCCGCCGCCGCCGCCGCCGCCGCCGCCGCCGCCGCAGCCGCCACAGAAAGGTTTCAAATCCGTGCGGGCGCAGAGGTCGCAGCGTCGCAGCAGGCCCGGGGGATGGGAGGAGCCGGCTGGGCGGTGGGACGGGAGGAGGTGCCCAGCTCGCAGGCCCCGCCCCCTTCCCCAAGCCTCCGGCCGCGGCCGCGCGCGGCGCCGTTGCCATGGCGACGCCCCGGGCCTCGGCTGCCCCGCCCAGCAGGCCGGGGGCGGGGACTTCCGCACTCGCGTTTCCCCGCCCCCCAGGCCGCGCGGCGCCGTTGCCCTGGCGACGCTACGGGCCTCTGCAGCCCCTGCCTAGCAGGTCGGGAGCAGGCACGTCCGCGCTCGCGTTTCCCCGCCCCCCTGCGCTGGGCGGTGTTGTCACGGCGACGTCCCGGCCCTCAGCGCAACTTCCGGCTCGCTTTCCAGCCTGGCGGCCCCTAGACCAATCCCAAGCAGAGACTCCCGGGATGACCAGACCACGCCCTGGACACTGCTGCCTTCAGGCATCCCGCTCGGACAGTAGCTTGTGAACACTTTCGGGGCTGTAGAGAAAGAACGGGTAAAGAGCAAAGAACATGGGGTTGCAGTAGGATATTCACAGAGGGTGGACAAACGACATTGAAAGAATCTAAAGAACTGAGAACTTACTGCCTGGTATCTCACAACCCAGAGGTGAATACCGTTGAATTAAAGGAGAAAATGAACACTGCTTTTTTTTTTTTTTTTTTTTTTGCATTCATAACTATCCAAGATCTGAAAAAACTTACCCCAAATTCCGAAGGTGCTGAAATAATATGAAAAGGCTTTGTGTTTACCAATTCTGGATAGAATAACAAGATCAAGAGGAAAATGTATTTTTGCTGCTCCCAGGAAGTCTCATCCACCTCGGGGCGGTCTCCATGTCTGCATTGCTATGTTGTGGTTTTCTCTGGTCTTCTGTTACATTTCTGGAAAGGCTCTGAACTATATATATTTTTTTAAAATACCGAACAGACACAAAATTTAAATTGTAAAAACACTCACTTAAATGAAATTCAGTTTACCACTGTTTTTCATGTAATTTCGCACAGGATTCCTTCTGCAGTGTCTGCAATACACGCAATGTGATGCCAAATCTAACATAAACACAGATTGAAGCATCTTTTCAACTTTCCATAAAGAAAATAGAAGATTCATTCATTTGTAGCTAGTTACTTTCAAGCTTCCAGAGGGAAGGCATATTCTTTCCAAGGTGCTTTTTCAAACCCTCCCACTGGAAGTAACAGTTTTTCCCACCAACGGTTTTTCATGGTTTCAGTGACAAATTATTAAAGCTAAGGAAAAGAAGAGGTATGAAATACTTTTAGGAATGTTTAGTTTCTCAAAAGCATAGTTGAACATGTTTATAGCTAAAGAATAATGGGTAATTCAGTCATTTGCACAGAGAATCTGGGATGCAAAACCCACACATGCAATTGCAGGAATTTGACCACCCAATGAAGAGGTTCAAAACCATGCTGCTGGAAGAACATGGAATGAATTTGACAATTGATGTGTCTAAATGAAGACTAGCAGAAAAGTAGCAGAAGAAAAAGGGGGATTGAGGGGGGAAGTGCAACAAAGTCAAGTTCATCTAAGAAAAAATTGCAGCAGAAAAAAAGAACATGACTTAAAAGGTAAAAAAATTAAGGTAAGTTTCTTAAAATAATTTCTATATTTAGGTGAAAGTAAGAGAAAATCTCCTTTTACATGTTCAAGAACTAGGAGATTATCACTATGTATACACACACACACATATTTTAAAAATTAAGATATGTACATAGGATTTTTATAGTTATTTATGTAATACATATGTAGCTGGGATGCCAACTGGAACCTGAGCTGTGTTGACCTTTGGATTCAAGCTTATGTGTCATGTTTAGAGAACAGGTAGACGATGTCCACTGGAAATCTCCTTCCATGACAACCAAGGAAGCTTCTAGAAAGTAACTCACCCTAGGTGACGGTAAGCGGACCTGGTTCCGTAACAGTACACAAACGCTGAATGGACAGGTGGTTCCACGTGAAGTACTAGCCATGGGGTGACTTCCAGCTCTCCTTCTTTGCTCGTAGCAGAGGGATTCCCAATCTTTTAAGGTGAAGATTTTCCTTTGAGAATCTTAAAAAGCTATACCTCTCCTGCCCCCTGCCCAAAAACATGAGTACAAATCAAAGGGTTCCCCAAATTCCTGAAGTCCATCCATGGAACCTAGGTTAAGAACTTCTGCCCTATGGATTTTATATCAATTCAAACATTGAGAACAGAAGCTGTAGCGGCATTCTTGTCCATAATTTCTGAAGCTATTATGGAAAAACTCAGTACAGACATCACTGCCCTCAACAGTTGGTTCCAGCAACCTCAGGGCAGGCATTAGTAAAAAGCAGCAGCAGTAGGGATGCCTTCAGCGAGCATCAGAGGCAAGAAATGAGAAAAATATCCTCACAGCTACACACACTCGGAGAAAAACAGTTGATGCCCACCATATGGTGGTTTAGGAAGATGCAGAGCATGCATGAGCCCCACCCTGGGAATACTTCGGAAGAAATATCTGGAATCGGAGTCCCTTCAGGGACCCCCAAGGGTGAAGACAGATAAATACTCTGTGGTAAATGTTCCAGTGTAGCCAGCCCCAAGCTTGCGTGGCCTGAAAATTACTGTTTCACACAAAGGTTTTATGGCCACAAACCTATGGCAACCAATTAATATGACTTCTATGTCTAGTTATTTCATAAAGGATAATAATTTGTCACCTCAATATATATTTATTGAACGTCTAGTATGTGTAGATTGTTTTAACGAAATGTTTCTTCTATCACGACTGTTCTGACAGTTCAACCTAAACGTCACTTTCTCAGAGAGGCCATCAGTGCTTCTCAAACGACCCCTTATTCTCTTTCAAAGCCTCCTGCTCTTTATCTTCACTGCCTTTATCAAAATTTGTAGTCAAATATTAACTGATATTAAAGATCTTTTTAAAATGTCTACAGGCGGGACTTCCCTGGTGGTCCAGTGGTAAAGAATCCGCCTTACAATGCAGGGGACATGGGTTCGATCCCTGGTTGGAGAACTAAGATCCTACATGCCACAGGGCAACTAAGCCTGTGTGCCACAACTATTGAACTCGTGCACCTCAACTAGAGGCCCCGTGCCGCAAACTACAGGGCCCATGCACTCTGGAGGCCACACGCCACAGTTAAAGAAAGAAAACCCGCCGCCACAACTAGAGAGAAGCCTGCGCGGTGCAACAAAAGAACCCACATGCCTCAACACAAATCCCGCGTGCCGCAACTAGGACCCAACGCAGCCAAAAATAAAAGTAAATAAATAAATAAATAAATAATAAATCTAAAAATTTTTTTTAAATAATATGTCTATAGGTTCCATCAGGAAAAGGACCATATCTGCTGGGTTTTACCACAGCAGACCCAGAGTTCCTAGCACAGAGAGGCAATCCATACATGTTTATTGAACCAAAGAATTAATGCAGATGGGTCTTTCGTGCTTCTCTCTGTACCTGGAGTGGAATATGGCCGCCCCATAGCTCCCTGCTATGGGAGAGTCCAAATTTCTTTCTAAGAGAGTGAGTCTGACTGGTCTAATGTGAATCAGGAGAGCACACTTAGTCGGATCAGGTAAGGTCAGGAGACTGGGCATCCCATCACATAAACATGACTTTGTCAGCTCACCCTTTTGCTTAGGGGACAGTAGTTGGGGTTCTTTTCTCAGAGAAGGGGATGGATGAGTTACCTCAAATGGTTCCAAGTATAACAGAGCTTCAAGAGTTGGGAGGTCAGAGATGAGTTTCTTCCCTCCAAAAGTTTACAGTATAGTAGGAGGTAGTAACACAAATACCGAATAACCATATTAGAGTCAGATTATGCCACCTGGTTTAAAATAATATGTTATGGGAATAGAGGGGAGATTAAGAAAACACATTACTGTGATTATAAAGTTACCATATGAAAATATATACTGAACCTTGTTTTATCTTTGGCTTTAAAAAGGTATTGAAATTGAAACATTATTTCCATTGGAAATGTTATTTCCTATCAGCCACAAATGACTTAAATGAAAATAGAAGGATTGTTCCAAAAACAAATTAATGGTTTACCTCAATATTTAAAAATCAAATGGTAACATAGTTGATAATGATAGGATAAACATGACCCCAAAATAGTTTTTCTTTCCCAGGTGGGAAGTTAGTTATGCTATACTTCTCAAGTTGAAAGGGATCTATTTATTTTCTAAATATAAACTTAAAATTAAGAATTAGTCTGGATAATACTGAGCAATGTGAAGTCAATGATTCTCTACATAAAACTTGGGACAATGTGACTTTTACTAATTAGAAAGATAAGTTTTCATAGATATTTTGAGCTAGGCCTGCATTTTGTTATAAGTATTAAATCTGATTATCCATATATCTGTTCTATAAAATTATAGTAACTATAGCAGAGACTAGAGGTTACCTCCATTTTGTTTAAGCTACTGTTATCTGAATTTTCTGTTTATATAAAGGCAAATTTAAACCTGATACAGTAATTTACTTCTCTCAACTTTAAATTATATGCATACAAAACATATGTTTCCTTGGCTTCCCTGGTGGCACAGTGGTTGAGAGTCCGCCTTCCAATGCAGGGGACACGGGTTCGTGCCCCGGTTCGGGAAGGTCCCACATGCTGCGGAACGGCTGGGTCCGTGAGCCGTGGCCGCTGAGCCTGCGCGTCCGGAGCCTGTGCTCCGCAACGGGAGAGGCCACAACAGTGAGAGGCCTGCGTACCGCAAAAAAAAAAACATGTTTCCTAAAGGCATTCTTTCATAACTTAATTTCCCTGAAGATCAATACCAAATGTATAAGTCTATAGTCATAAATGTATTACTAATATTACTCACAGAAAATGAGTTACAAAATAGTTTACAAGCCATTCTACCAATTTACATACTCACCACACACACACACACACACACACACACACACACACACACACACACACACACACAGGAAAACAACGTGGAAGGATGTGACTCAAAGGCGGACAATGATTCTCTGGGTAATGAAACTAAAGATGATGTAAGTTCTTCAATTTTACTTCCTAGATACCCTCAAATCTCTCCAAAAAATAGCTCTATTTTAGAAAACGTTGACTTAGACATAAAATTATGAAATTCACCGTATTCTTCTCCTCTCGAACATTTTGGGTGTGTTTTTTTTCATAAATTTATTTATTTATTTTTGGCTGAGTTGGACTTTGTTGCTGCGCACGGGCTTTCTCTAGTTGCAGCGAACGGGGGCTACT